TAATAATCCCCTGGGAACTCAAGTGAGTCCATTTTTGCCTTGACATAATGCCTTACTTGAAGATATTTATAAAAGTCCCTGGAGACGATGTCATATTGTGTTCTTAAGTCCTCAAATGTCTTGAATTTTCCATTATTCCAAAGATCGTGTATTCTAGTAATACCAGCCTCTTGCCAAGACCTGAGATCAGGTCCAGCGCCCTCTACTGTCAGATCCAGATTATCTACAAGTGTTGTCAGAGACGAAAAATTTTTGTTCTGACCAAACAATTTCCTCAAAATGCCCCATGCCTTAATTGTGTTAGTAATTAAAAAATTATTTTTTACCATGAGTGGTAGTTCTCTGTTTTGTTTATTTAGCATATTTATAGGGCGACAAGGTTTACAGACACTTTCCTCAATCTCGAGCCATGGATTAGCGTGTTTTTGGATAGCCCACTGTGAAATAGTTCTTGCATGTATAGACAGTACATAGTTCTCAACCTTGGGCAGACCCCATCCACCCAAGGTTCTGGGAAGTTGTAAAACCTCCATTTTAATTTTAGGTTTCCTGCCTGCCCAAATAAATTCTGATATTGCTTTATTGATTCCAGCTAAGTCTTTAGGGTCAATAAACAAAAACAGCATAGACACTGGATAAATCAACTTAGGGAGAATTATCATCTTAATGAGGTTAACTCTACCCAAAAAAGATACGGGGAGCTTCTTCCATCTCGTTAATCTATCTTTAATATGAGTAATGATAGGGTTGATGTTTTCAGAGTACAGCTGGCTAGTTCTAGGTGTAATGTGTATTCCTAAATATTTTAATCCTGTGGGAGCCCATCGAAATGGCTTGATGAAAGTTGGTTCTCCTTGGTCAATAGTATTTAAAGGCATTATTTCTGATTTTCCGTAATTTACCTTATACCCAGATATTTTACCAAATTTGTTGACACAGTCAATTAGAGCCGGGATAGATTTTACAGGGTCTGTCAAGGTTAGCAGTATATCATCAGCGTATAATAATATTTTATACACTTTTTTTCCTATTGATATACCTTTAATATCATTGCTTTGTCTAATTGCAATTGCAAGTGGCTCTATAGCCAAGGAGAAAAGTAGCGGGGAGAGAGGGCTTCCCTGCGCCGTCCCCCTACTCAATACAAAAGGTGCAGATAAGAGGCCATTTGTCAAGACCGATGCAGTGGGTTTTTTATAAAGAAGTTTTACCCAATTTATAAAATTTTCTCCAAGTCCAAATCTTCTCAGCACTTCAAACATGTACTCCAATTCAACACGGTCGAAGGCCTTTTCAGCATCCATTGAGACAATTATGCCTGGCATTCGTGTCTGGTTAAGATGTTGAATGATATTGACTAGTCGTCTAGTATTATTTGATGACAGGCGCTCCTTTATAAAGCCAGCTTGGTCTATATTGATTATGTTGGAGACTACTTTTTCCAGTCTAGTGGTCAGAATCTTGGATAGAATTTTCATATCTACACCAAGCAGGCTAATTGGTCGATATGATGAGCATTGTTCTGGGTCTTTATCTTTTTTTGGGATTACAATAATATTTGCCACATACATGGTATCAGGTAGTTTTGATTTTTCTAAAGATGTGTTAAAGACTCGTTGTAATAGCGGGCTAATTTTGCCTTTTAAGGTTTTAAAAAATTCAACAGGGTATCCATCCGCACCGGGACATTTACCAGATTGCAATGCAGAGATGGCCTTTTCAATTTCTAGAGTTGTTATAGGTCCTTCTAATATGTTTGCCTGTTCTGGTGCCAATTGTGGTATATTTAACTCATCCAGCAGTTCATGCTCTAGTGCATCTTTTTTTACTTCAGAACAATACAATTTTTCATAAAACTGCTTAAAGCATTCATTTATGCGTCTGTTATCCATATGACGATGACCACTTTCGTCCTGAATTGAGGATATAAAGTTCGTGCCAGGTGATTTGTTTACTAATCTTGACAAATATTTATTTGGTTTGTTACCGTGTTCGAAGAACTTTTGCCGTGCAAATAATATATCCTTTTCAGCTTTCTTTGTTATCAGATCAGATAGTGAGGCCCGGGTTGTTTTGAGTTCCCCTAGAATTTTACCAGATTTAGATAAAATATATTCCTCTTCCAATTTTTTAATTTTGTTTTCAATTTTATTTTGTTCGGCTAATTGTTCTTTCCTCTTACGACTGGAATATGATATTATTATACCCCGCATATATGCCTTATAAGCATCCCATATCAATCTGGGGTCAGTATTATTATTGTCATTGAATTCTAGAAAGATGTCTGTCTGCTCTTCTAGCAATTTTGTAAAATCTTCATTTAGCAGCAGCAATCTGTTTAACCTCCATGAGGCTGTGCGATCCAATGGTCTGGGCGGATGCATTGCCAGCCTAACAGGAGCATGGTCAGAGAGGGAAATAGTTCCTATCTCCGTTTCTTCCACGAGGTGGACCAAGTGATTTGACATAAACAAATAATCAATGCGTGTCATCGTTGAATGTGGCAACGAGTGAAAAGTGAAACTTTTTATGGAGGGGTTAAAATGCCTCCATATGTCTATTAAATTCAGTTCCTCAAGAATATTTTTTACAGCCGTAGAATTTTTAGACTGGGTGTTTTGGGGGGGGCACCTATCCATATGAGGGCATAAAGAACAATTAAAGTCGCCACCGATAAGTATGTTTGGGCAATCCATCTCAGCGATTTGACTGAGGAGGACTGCAAAGAAATCCTCATCATTCACATTTGGGCCATATACACTGCCAAGCAAAAAACTCTCTCCATATAAAATACCCTTAATCAAGATGATTCTTCCTTCTGTGTCTTTAAATGTGTCTAAAACTGTGAAAGGGAGATTTTTGTGTATTAAGATTATGACCCCCCTTTTATTTGTTGAGTATGATGAGAAATAAACTTGTCCTACCCATTCTCTTAAATATTTTTTATGTTCCTCATCCGTGAGATGAGTTTCTTGTAGAAACGCTACTTGGTTCCTGTCTTTCTTTAAACTATTTAGGATAGCCTTCCTTTTTATTGCATTATTAGAACCTTTTACGTTCCATGTGCAAATCTTAATGCTCATCATCAGAGTATATGAAGGTTACTTTATGCTGTCTTTAAAAAAGACATCAATAAAATAAAATACAAAGTTACTCTGCAACATGCCTGCCTCAAATTGTGTTCTGTGCTGACAAACCAACAAAGAAGTTCCAAGCAAAAACCCGAACATTACATAGAGCTTGGACCAGATTCTAAAGAAATAGTAACCATAACAAACTACATAAAAAGATAACAATAACGAACTTGTCATACCCTAATTCTAAGGTACAGCAGGAAGGGGGAGCAAGTAAAGAACCACTATCAGAAAAAGAAAAAAGAGAAAAGAGAGTCAAGCATCCTGCCCCCTCTGGGTCTCAATATTAATCCCCCGTGGATATACAAATGTGAGATATAATGAAGATGTTTCATCTCAACATACCGTTCTTATTTGTAAAACATTGTGATCAGAGCAGATCTAGCACTATGAACAATGTTATTAATACAACTGTCTTTCGAGTGTTCAATGTTTACCTCTCATCGTCACTTAGTCTTTTATGTCCACTCGAACATGCGGAAAGATCCGTGTGAAGTCATTTATTTGTTAAGTGTCTTGATGAATTCGTTGATTTCTTTCAAATCAGATAGGACTGTGGTCGTCCCGTTCTGGTTGAAGATCTTAATAACAGCAGGAAACAGGAACGCGTACTTCACACCGGCCTCTCGCAGCTGACGCCGAGCACCTGCGGACTCCTGTCGCTTTCTGACAATCTCCGCAGAAAAATCCTGGTAAAAGGACACTCTGCGATCCTCTACTTGAATTATTCCTTTATTCCTTGCAGCGTTGAGAATCTTCTGTTTATCGATGTAGTTGTGGAGTCTCACCAGGACTGCCCGTGGGTGGTCTGGGTCCCTTCGTCCGGCCGGGGGTCCGGTGCGGTGCACTCTTTCGATTTTGATCTGTGTCTGCTGCAGTCCCAGCACTTTAGGAATCCACTCCTCGAAAAAAGCCGCCGGTTCTCTGCCTTCGATGCCTTCTTTTAGTCCCATAATCTTAATGTTCTGGCGCCTGCTTTGGTTTTCGATGCTGTCCAGCCTTTCCAGTGTTTTTCCAATAGTTTTCTCCATGCTGTCAATCCTTGGCGCGCTTCTCGTTGTTGCGTCTTCCAGATCAGAGATGCGCTGCTCAGCGGCAGCCATTCGCCGCGTCATACTATCAAACTTTTCTGCAAGTTCAGAGACTGGTTTAAGAATTGCAGTTACTTTTCTGTCCATTATTTCTTCGATATTCTATGATGTCTTCTTTTAGAGTGTTAGCTTCTTCCACATCGCTCACAGTGCAGCCCTGCTCCATGTCTTCAGCCACATCGTCTTGGTCGTTTTGATTAGCTGCGGCTATGCTAGCATTAGCCCCAGCTTTCCGACCTCCTTTCTTCTTTTTGCTCGATGCAGTAGACGCAAAAAAGTTATCAAGAGACATGTCGAGGCTTACTACAGCTATTATTTCAGTTCACACGGTGGATTGTTGTCTTAAATTATAGTTTTACTTTGACCCAGAGAGGAGACGAAAAACACACGACTATTCCGCAGCGTGCATCACGTGATCGATACTTTTTTTTTTACTGAAGACAATATAGTAATTTTACAGACATTCTGTCTTGATGTAGATGAAATCAGGAAAATTAGAAATGATCACACCTCAAATAATGATCATCATAACATAAATGATCATTCTGCTCAGCATGTGTTTGTGTGGATGGAGCCACTGGTGGAGCTGGCAGAGTTTAGAGCTGAAGTCACTGTGTCTTTATGAAGCAGCAGCAT